CACTAGAAAGATGGGCCTCTCCTTCCATGTAATTTACTGGGTCGGTTCAGACTCAATGATATATAACAGCAGCGATGTACTACTGGATTCTGCTTGTTTGTATTTTGTTGAGAAATATTACATTTATATTAACAAGAGATTAATGAGGTGGTGTTATGTATCATTGAGTTGAGTATGTCAGATGACCCTATAAACCGCAGATCTGAAACCTGTCCTATCCTGTGCCATCCTTATCATTTCTGATATAGTTTAATCCATTGCTGTAGCCACTGTGTCAGTACATCTTGTTGAAGGTTTTCCTCTCTTTCACTAGCCCTCCACTTTCTTTTCTTTTTTTAATTTTTAAAAAAAATTTTATTTTTTTTTGTGTGTGTACTGTCAAATTGGGGTTGACAGGTACAGGAGGAGATTGCCCCTCCTTCTCCAGAAGGGCATATGGTGGATTCGAACTGTGTTTCTCTGGGATTACAGTGCAGCTTCTTGCCACTAGGCCACCAGAGCTCCCCTGGTCCTCCACTTTCCATTCATGATATCTTTTTCCAAGGAATAGTCTCTTTTACATGCCCTAAGTATTTAAGAAAAAGTTTCTCCATCCTTGCCTCCAAGGAGCGCTCTGGCTGCACTTTTCTCTAAGATATATTTGCTCTTCTGTCAGTCCACAAGACACTTGGCAGTCTTCTCTAATACACAGCTCAAAGGCATAGATCTTTCTTCTCTCATCTTTACTCATTGTCCAGTTCTCAGATTTGTCATAGGTGATTAAAAAGACTGTGGCTTGAATCAAGTACACCTTAGTTTTTAAACTGTTAGCCAAAATGTCAGTGGTTCAAATCTATCAGTTCTGTAGGAAAAGGATGTGACAGCTGCTTTTATAAAGATTACAGCTTTGGGAAACTGTCTGGTGAATAGTTCTTTCTTCAGGACCAAGATGAGTCAGAGTCAGAATACATTCAAGGGCTGTGGATTATGTACTGTTGGGTTTTTGTGTTTTTTTTTTTTTTTTGTAGTGTTTTTGTCTAATGTTAATAGAATTTAAACCATATTGGTGTCAATTCTTTTCTAAATATTGGGCTTAATTTCCTAGTGAAGCTATCTGATCGAGGAATTTTTGGTTGGTCTTAGGATAGTCTGTGTCTGTATTCTTTTTTTCTCCTCAAATCTCTCATTTAATATCTGCATCTATTGAAATTCCCTCTTTCCTTTTGGTTAGTTTGGGTAGGTTGTACATTTCTAAGCATTTGCTCATTTTATTTATGTTGTCTAGTTTGCTACACAAATTTTCTTTATTTCATTCAGATTAGTTATAATATCTCTTCATTATTTTGTTTATTTTGTAATAGCTCTATTTTGGTCTTTTGGTCTTTTTCCCTTCATTTCTTTGTCAATGTAACTAAAGGTTTGTTAATTTTCTTGATCTTTTCAAAGAACCGACTTTTTATTTTATTGAATCTTTTTGTTGTTGTTATATGCCATAGATGCAGCATAATTTAGCTTCCAGTAGGTGTCAGAGGCTGTAAACCGCAGAGAAGCAGACCACCCATCTCTCTCTGGAGACGCTCTTTCTAGAGATGCCCTCCCTGGAACAGCTGCTGGGTCAAAGTACCTGTCTTTGTCAATGCCAACTCTTTACCACTCGGTGCTTTCATTTTCTGGGTTTAAAAAAAAATTTCATTTATTTATTTTTAAAAAATTTCCTTCCTTCCTTTTGGTAGGAATGAAGGCTTGGTAGTACCTGGAGTTGAGTTAGACTGTTCATTTGACATCTTTCTTTCTTTTTTTTTTTAATATAGAGATTATTACTGGAAGCACGAGCAGCATCCACTTCCGAAATGGTTTGCCTCCGGAAACTATGTACGAACAGTGCTCAGGCTGTTCATTCATAGGGTTGCTATGAGTCGTCTATGACTCAACGGCATCAAACAACAACAACAACAACAACAACAGGCATTATTAACTCTTAAGTTTCCATCTAAGGACTCTCTTCATTGCATTCTATAAGTTCTAGAATTCTGTGCTTTTGTTTTTGTTTCATTGTAAGAAATTTGTGAATTCTTTTTATTTCTTTCTTATTGTATTGGTAATATAGTAGCATGCTGTTTTATTTTCACATGTTTGTGTGATTTCCATGTTTTTATCACCTGCTGGTTTCTAGTTTCACTACATTGTGGTCAGAGAAAAAAAATTCTATAGTTTCAGTCTTTTATTTAATTTTTTTTTTTTTTAGTTTTTTATAGTTTCAGTCTTTTAAAGTTTTGCAACCTAAAATGTGGACTATTCTAAGAAACAATTCTTGTGTAATGAATTTTCTGTATATTTTGTTCAGTATAGTTGGTTTATTATGTCATTTACTCTCCATGTTTCCTTTATAATCATTCTAGATGTTTTTTTTCCAATGTTGAAAGCAATCTTTTGAAGTTTCCAACTATTGTTGGAACTATTGTTCCAACTACCTGTTTCCTCTCTCAATTCTGTCAGTATTTGACTTATTCTTTTAGTTGCACCAATGTTGTATTCATATATGTTTATGATTACTAAGTATTCTTGATTGACAACAACCTGGCCAACTGACTGGAAGAGATCTATGTTTGTTCCCATTCCAAAGAAAGGTGACCCAACGGAGTATGAAAATTATCAAACAATATTGTTAATATCACATGCATGCTAGACTCTGCTGAAAATTATCCAAAAATGACTGGAACAGCACATCAACAGACAACTGTTAAATGTGCAAGCTGGGTTTAGAAGAGGCCCTAGTACTAGGGATATTATACGTAATGTTAGATGGATCTTGGCTGAAAACAGGGAGTACAAGAGGAATGTCTATCTGTGTTTCATTGACTGTGCAAAGTGTTTGACTGTGTGGATTATAACAAACTGTGGCTGATTCTGAGAGGAATAGGAATCCTAGAACACTTGATTGTACTTATGCAAAACCTGTACTTGGACCAGGAGGCAGTCATCAGAACAGAGCAAGGAAATACTGCATGGTTCAAAATTGGGAAGGTGGTATGCCAGGGATGTGTCCTATCTCCTTTTCAATCCATATACAGAACAGATCATCTGGGAAGCTGGGCTGTATGAGGAGGAATGTAGCATCAGGATTGAAGGGAAGATTCATCAACAAACTGTTATTTAGATGACATAACCCTGCTTGCTGAAACTGAGAAGGACCTGAAGCACTTGCTGCAGAAGATCAAGGACTGCAGCCTTCAAAATGGATGGAAACTCAACATCAAGTAAACAAAGATTCTTACCACTGGACCGATTGGCAACATTATGATAGATGGTGAAGAGATTGAGATTATTAACAGCTTTTCTTTGCTTGGCTCCACAATTTATGTTCTTGGTACTAGCAGCCAGGAAATCAAGAGATGAATTGCATTGGGAAAGTCAGCTGTCAGGGACCTCTCCAGAATACTGAAGAGCAGTGCTGTCAGTCTGGAGACTAAGATGTGCCTGATCCAGGCCCTAGTCTTTGCAATTGCTTACTGTGTGATAGAAAGCTGGACAGAGACTAGGGATGATAGAGAAAATTGATGCCTTTGAGCTGTGGTGATGGAGAAGAGTGTTGAATATACCATGGGCTGCCAGGAAAACAGACAGGTTCATCCTAGCAAGAGTGAGACCAGGCTGCTCCTTGGATGCAAGGATTCTAAGGCTTCGTCTGACATACTTTGGGCATGTTGCAAGGAGGGATAAGTCCTTTGAGAGAGACATTGTGCTTGGGATAGTGGAGAGACAGAGAAAGAGAGGGAAACAAAACCATCAATGAGATGGATTGATTCAGTGACTGGGGTAACTAAGGGTAGGTATGTCAGAGACAGTAAAATTGGCTCAGGATAGAGCAGGTTTCAGGCCTCTTGTAGATAGGTTTGCTGTTAGTCATAAGTGACTCAGTGGCATGTAACAACAACAACAATCACTCTATCAGGAATTCTCGGTTGTTGATAGGATTTTTGAAGGCCTGCTATTTCAGAAGAATTTAAGAAGAGTTCTACTTAGTCTGTGTTTACCATGTGGGACCAGACCTTTGTGAACGACATCATGCTTAGAAGAATGGAGACTCAGCACAGGAGAGGAAGACCCTGGATGAGATAGATTGATACCGTGATTGTGGCAATGGAGTCAGGTTTGTCAGAGAGGGTTAGGTTGGTTCAGGTTGAGGCAAGGTTCAGAGCCATTGTTCATAGGGTGACTGTGAGCATTGACTTGACAGCACTTCACAACAGTGTGCATGTCCAAGTTTCTAGTCTTAAATTTTCTTCTTGCTAAAGAACTCTTTTTCTAAGATGTATTAAGTGATGAGAAATTTCCTTAAATTTTGTTAATCTGGGAAAAATCCTTATTTTCCCTTCACTTTTGAACAGTAAATTTCCTGGACAGAGAATTCTAGATTGGTGATCTTTTTCTTTTATCATTTGAATATCTCTCAATTTTTGTCTTGCCTTTAATATTTCTAATGAATAGATGGAGTTTTCTTCCTTAATTCCCAGCAAGTTGCATTGAGTGGACTGTTAATACATGTTGGTTGACTTGTTCTCATACAAGGTCTTCTTAGAAGCTTATCTCTTCCATGAAGTATGTGTCTTTCCATATTCCAAATTCTGAATGTTTTTTAGTTCTTTACTTTTTAGAATTCTGGTTATTATTTTGACTCTTAATTTGTTAGATTATTTAAAGCAAATTGTCCCTTTTTTTGTTAGGGTTGTTTTGTTTTTTTTTGGGGGGGTGGTCATTGTATAAATGTCAGTCATTGGTTAAATCAGTAATAATAAGGTGACAGTATGTCCTGATTTGCCGGGGTTGGTGTTGGTTTGCGCTTCTTCTGACTTTATTAGTAATAATTTCCTCTATCCTTCTCAATAGTGTCTTTATTTGAATGACAGACTATTTGGTCACTAATAAAACATTTTTTAGTTATGAGCTCATAAAAAATTTTAAGTATATTTCTTGAGTATTGGTTAATGAAATAGTGCTTGCTTTTTTCTTTTCTTTTTCAGGTATTTTAACACCAGTGATAACAATTTACAGTACTGGGGAATGGATTACCCACCTCTTACAGCTTATCATAGTCTCTTATGTGCATATGTGTAAGTTCCTAACTTTCAGTCTTTATACCTTTAGTAAATATACTGAGAAAGTGTGATATACTTTTGTTGAATAGAGATGTACTTTTGTATTATGTATGGGTTGTTAAGCACTAGGACTTAGGTTGTAAGAACGGTAACCACTGGAGTTTCAAAATTTCTATAACTTTTTTGTAGGATAGGCTAGAAAGAAATACAGAAATCCAGCTTCAGTTTTAGGTAGACACAGTACCAGTTCTATATTTTAATGTGGATTAGTTATGTGCACAGGATGCATTATTTTCTTTCTTGAATGACTCAAAATGAAGGAAAAAGATAGATTCAAATATTATTCTGATTAAATTAGAATTTCTATCATGTTTCACACTATGATTTAAGATTAGGTCTGACTGACATGCTTCCTCTTAAGGAAATATGATCATTTATGTAAGAGAAGGAATTTTATTTTGAAGACCTCGTTCTGTGATATGGTAGCATTCCGTCTTAGACTTGAAGCATGTTAGGAGATTTTGAAAGAACTTATTCACATTATGTTTCCTGAACTCATTATTTCATTGTTTTAACTTTAAGTCTTTTGTATTTTATAAAAATTAGTTTAATGTATTCACAATAAGACCCCAAACTTTATGACAATCCCTTGTATTTTGTAATTATCAGCATAGTGCAGTATGATTAAATTTCTAATATATAATGGCTAGATTTTGCTTTGGGAGCTCTGGTGACCTTGTGGGTAAGGAGTTGTGCTGCTAACCCAAAGGCAAGCAGTTTGAATCCACTAGCAATTCTGAAGGAGAAAGATGGGAAATCTGAGCAATTTATAGCCTCTGAAAACCCAGGAAAGATCAGCTGTGAGTTAGTTCTGACTTTTTTGATACTTATGTTTAACTTTATTGTATCTGACTCTTATGCTAACTGAATGTGATAAATTATAGGATCTGATCTTACTGTCACTACTACGATACCTGGTGGCTTAGTAGATTAAGCAATGAGTTGCTAACTTTAAAGATCAGTGGTTTGAGCTTATGAACCACTTAATGAGTTATCTCATTAGAGATGAGGCAGTCTTTTTCCACTAGAGATTTATGTCCTTGGAAACCCTAAGAAGCAGTTTTCTGGCTTATAGATTGATATGAGCCAGAATTAAGTTAATGCAGTGGATTTGGTCAATATGAGTGTATTATTCTTTAAAAATGAGGTATCACATAGCTGGTTGTTTTTACACAAAAGAACTATTAAAACCTTGTAGGGCATGTTATATGGCTTTGTTGAAAGATGAGCGAGGCAGACCTTGTTTGGTAAGTTAGTTTCACATGATAGAGAAGAATTGAAGTTACGCATTGAGTTTATTGCTTCATTAGAGCAATAGTTAATTCTCAGTTTTATATATTCACAGATGTTCTTATTGCTAAATGATAGAAAAATAAAGTGTGTGTGTGTGTGTGTGTGTGTGTGTGTATATATATATGCTTTGGTTTGCAGGGCAAAGTTTATCAATCCGGACTGGATTGCCCTCCATACATCACGTGGATATGAGAGCCAGGCACATAAACTTTTCATGCGTACAACAGGTAAAAGAACAGTAGTTACTGAATGTAAAATTTGATTTTTTTTCCAGAAATTTTTGAGAAACTGGTAATTGTCCTTGTGCTCTTGAGTTGGAACTGACTCATAACTGACCAGCCTGCAGATATTCATAGGCTGTGAATTGCATGGGAGGCAACTGCTCATCTTTCTTCCTCAGAACATTTGGTGGATCTGAACCACCTGTCTTTGAGTTGACCACAGAACTCCTGCACAGTTCTTGAACATTAGGCTACCAGCTCTCAATCTGATGATAAGTACAGCTGTTGTAGTTGTGTTGTTGTCTGCTGTTTAGTCTGAGCTGATCCTCCAGTGGGCTTTTAGAGGCAGTTAATTGCACAGGAGGAGATTGCCCATCAGTCTCCTGCGGAGAAGCTGGTGGATTTGAACCTCATGCCTTTGGGATTACAGCACAGTTTCTTACCACTAGGCCACCAGAGCTCTCTATTATTGTATTTACTGGATTAAAATTGTATAACTAGAAAGTAGCGAGTGAAAAGATATGATATTGGATGCTTTACATTTATTAATTTAATTTTTTGCATTCCAATATGATGTAAGTACTATTATTATCCCTATTTTAATGTGAGGAAACTGAGGAACAGTGAAGTGAGGCAGCTAACTTACCAGAGGTTAGACAATTATAAGTTGAGTACTTAGTTTTTAGGCTGTTGCTGTAATATTCTAATTACAAATCCATAAATTTTACAGTTATGTCTTTTATACTGTTGCTAAATTAAATAATCCACTCAACAAATGTTTATTGAATTATCTACTGTATGCTGTTACAGAAGGTTAATAGTATTAAACTTAGATTTCTTAAAAAATTTTATATAACTTAAGCGTCAATGTCTATAATTCTAGCCTATACATTTTCTTTATCCATGCATAATACCTCTAGAAACTCTATGAACTTTGATAAATGCTGATAATTATAGAAAGGCTTCAGGCCTTTTGTTCATAGGGTTGCTATGAATTGTGCTTGATTCATAGACATTCAACAACAAAAACAGCAATGTAAATTTAGTCAGAATTTGTTTTCTTTACTGGTCATCCAGTCATGGAATCTGAGGCCCAGGAAATAGTAATAATTTTCTGCCATCTGTGCTTAAAATCTTTCTGAACTAGCTTCATACTCACCATGTGATCAGCCAGTATTTGAATAAAACCTGTGTTTTCAGTGAATTCATAAACTCTGGTGACCTAGTAGTAAGAAGCTGCGATTCAGTCTCAAATGCTCATGGATTTAGTGCTTCTGAATACCCAGAGGAGGGGCAGCTATGGGTTGGTCCTGACTCAACAGCATATAACAACAATAATAACACAGCCTTCAGAGACAACATTTCATATTCAGAGGGCCTTAATCATTAACATTTCTTTTTTATAAGTACTGGACTCCTGTCGATAATTCCCTTGGGCCAAACAAGAGGCCTGATGCCCTTGTATCTAACACTCTTTAGATGTGGTCTTAAGGATAAGTAGTTGTGTTGCCATCCCAAACTCAAGTGATTAAAAACCTTGTGCTTCTCCGTGGAAGAATGATGGGCAGTCTCCTCTTGTGTAATTTTCAGCTTCTGGAAAACCTGCTGGACGGTGAGCGATGAGTTGATTCTAACTCTATGGTATATAACAAGTACCACTTCCGACTTTGAGTCATGTCTTCTTACATTTAAGTATTAGAAGATATTTTAGTTATGTCTTGGGTGAAAGTTTGTTGAATGTGATCATGGTTTTGAAACCTCAGGTTATATTCTTGGATATATTCCAGTTTTTCAGGGTTATCTTAATTGTGACATCTGAAGCTGAACGTAATAAATATGCTTCTAACACAGAAGTTTATCAAGTCCTTTATCCTGGACACTGTTTAACGTAGTGCTATAAGAAAAAACAGGCTCTTTAGACAGTCATGTGATTATACACTATTGAAGAACTTAACGTATTTTTTTCTTCTTTCTTCTAAGAGGATGAACATTAAAAATTATGAACTGCCCTTTTTTAAAAAAACTTAACTTTTGTTTCCTCTTCCCATTCTTTATTTACCTTATTTAGTAAAGGTCAATATATGTATTTTTTTAAATGTTAACATTTCTAAAAATTAACCTATGCATCCATTTATGTTAACTTTTATACCAGAAAGTCTGTAGTATGCCAACATAGAGAAAAAAAAATATTATTTTCTCTTGTTTTGAGTATTCTTAATTTTTAAGTGCAAGTCCGACTGAAGAGAAAATTTTTATTTTATTTCATTAATTTGATGTGTTAATTTGTTAGAGAAAATGAAGAGACTTTTTGATATCATATCAATTGACAGTTAGCAGAGATGAAGAGACTGAAAGAGCTGATTATGTAATAAACTAGCCCAATGTGGGCAGCAATCATTAGTGAATGAAATTCCCAGTTAGGGTGGGAGGAGGGGTTCATGGGCTGTTGTAGATCCTGCTGGATTCACACTTAAAACTAATTTTTAATTTTTTTTTTCTCCAGTGTTTGTTGCTGATTTGCTTATTTACATACCTGCAGTGGTTTTGTACTGTTGTTGCTTAAAAGAAACATCACCTAAGGGAAAAGTGAGTTTTGATGCAAACTAACATCTCTGAAATAGTTTCTTTATCAGCTTGCCACTAGGTATAGATCTTTTTGTGTGTGTGTATGTGATTTTAACAGGCTTACAGAAATGTTTGCTTTTTATTCATTCACTGTTGCACATTTTCCTACCTTTACCTCTCTTCCTCCTCCCCTAGTCCATTTTGCAGTGCACCTCTTGTTTCACATTGTTGTCATACATATAATGCCTAATCATACATTCCTTTTAGGCAGTTCTTCCCCTCATCTGTTCTAATGCAGTGTTCATTATCTATCCACTCTTTTCCTAGTTCTCCCTCAGCCTCCCATGTCAGTCCCATTTTATAACAGCAGTGTTACGCAATATTTGTCCTTTTGTGACTGAAATATTTCACTCAGCATAATGGCTTCCAGGCTCACCTATGCTGTGCAGCAATTTATGAGTTCATTGTTTTTCAGTGCTGCACAATATTCTTTGTGTGAATGTACTACAAGTTTTTCTATTCATTTGTTGATGGGCAATTGGGCTGATTCCATCTCTTTGCTATTCTGAATAAAGCAGCAGTAAACTTGAATGTGTGTACATCTGTTTGAATTGTGGCTCTGGTTTCTTCGGAGTATATTCTGCATAGTGGATTTGCTGGGTTAAATGGTATTTTTATTTTCAACTTTCTAAGTGCCAGACTGTGTTCCATCATGGTTGTACCATTTTACATTTCTTCTAGCAGTGAATAAGAATTGCAGTCTCTCCACAGCTTTACCAGTATTTGTTGTTTGCTGCCCTGTTGAACTTTGCTGTTGTTGCTGGGGTAGGTGTAGATCTTCAATGTGCCATGCTTTTAGGAATAAATGGAATAATGGGAGATAGTATATAATTTATTAATTTTTATTTAATGAACATCCATCAACTTATAGTAATTAATGTAATGCCAGAGCAGATTTATAACTTGAAGTTATGTACTGCAGAATTGATATTGCATGTGGATTTTATTGCTTAACTGGTAAATCAGAATTTTTGAGTTGGCTGATGAGAATGATAAAACTTTGTTTTGAAAATGACTGTTTGGTAAAGTCACTATACATTGCCATACTCAAGTCACTATATACTCTGCAGTACTCTTTTATCATTACAGAGAGTTCATTTATTAAATTAACTTCTGAAATACATATATAAAAGTAATTCCTCTGACATTGAAACTGTTCAGTGGGGAGCTCTGGTGGCCTAGTGGCAAGGAGCTGCAACTACAATCCCAGAGGTGCACGGTTCGAATCCACCAGATGCTCTGCCGGGAAAAGGAGGGACGATCTCCTCCTGTACCAGTCAGATCTGATTTGACGGTACACTCACACACAAAAAAAATAAAAAAAAAAAAGAAACTGTTCAGTGCTTTTAAGAATTGTATGGTGTTAGCCTAAAAGTTGACTTTTTCTTAGTCATTACAGTTAGCCGCTTCTAGTCTCCAGCTACCTTAACTGCAGACACATAATCTTTCAGATAGCATTGGTCTTGCAAATCAGCAACAGCTATGAGACTAGAATAAGAGAAAAAGTGTTTCTCACACTGAGGAGCAAGTCTTGAGATAAGAAGGACTTGTGGCAGTGAGACCCTGGTGAGTGCGAGACCCTGGTGATAAAGACTGTGGCATTGCTGGAACAGATGGTGGTAAGGTGTGACCTGAGGTTTCTTACATTTGTGCTGGCCACAGTTAAAGGTTTGGCTGTTCTTGCTGGATGTTTGAAGGAGAAGCTGACTTATAACTTGATGGATGCTTGTTTGCTTGGAGATAAACCTTGCTGGATGATTTGGATTTAACTGTTGAACTGAAGTTGGGTCCTGGACTTATTGAGGAATTGTGCCTTGGAACTGTTGGGCTAAAGCCTGGACTTGTACTGTGAGATATTCTTTGCCTCCCCCATTCTCCAACTTCCTTCCCTAATAAACCCCATTGTTGTACCATTACTATAAACATATGAGTCAACAATGAATAAAAGACCCTCTTGCTTTTGGCACCATGGGGCTGGGCTACTGCCTCTTTATCTGCTTTCTGTGCAGTGAGGGACTGTGCTATTCTTACTCCCTCTGGCCCTTTTAGAGAGATGCTCATGGCCCTGTATCTCTATGTCCTTTTCCCCCTCTTTAGAGAAATTGTTTTAAAAAAGATGGAAAAGTTTGCAAATACAATAAATAGCACATCAGCAGAGGGAGAACTTTTACCACTGTGTTGAATAAAACCACATTTTACCCAGTTGAATTTGAGTACCAAATTATTAATATTACAATATTTTTCTTTCCAGATTGCTAATGCATTATGCATATTGCTGTATCCAGGCCTTATTCTTATCGACTATGGACACTTTCAGTATCCTTTACTAACTAAGAAAGGAAGTAATTAGTAGCATATTATGAAATCTAGGCTTAATTGTGCATAATATATCCAATAATGTCTTATTTGTTAGGGTGCTTGCCTATATAAATTATTTCCACAATTATATAAAAGAGTTTGTTTATTGAGCATTTACTTAAAGGGTAAAGTATGGATTTATTAAATGTAGAATTGCTTTTTTTGCACCTGTTTGACTTAGGGATAAAATGCTGGTAACTGATTATATTGCTCTGGGAATTTGGAAAATGAGTGCCAAGTACAGCTCTATGCCCTCCTCATTATTTTTTTTTTCATTCATTGCTGCGCCCTCCTAATTTTGAAAAGGTGTACATCTTGTAAATGTTCTCTGACACTGAAAAAAAAACACAAACCCCAACTAGATGATTTTCTAACAGATTGTGGTGACCAAGAAGCTTAGGGAAACTAAAATTGGTTCATAATTGAAAACTAACATGTAGACTTATGATTTTACTTTTTATTATTTTTACTATAAAATCTGCATTTGACTGTCCCCATTTGTATTCCAGTATGTTGAATGTTTTGAATGTATGTCACAAAAGGACAAAAAATATTCACTATAACCAGACATATAATCAATCATTTTCATGTGAATATGCTTAGTTATAATTTGCATGTCTGTCAAAAGATTTGCAAAAGATACTCAAATCTATAGGGTCCTCTGGTGTCTTAATGAATAAGGAATTGCACTGCCTTTTGGAGACACTTTCCTTGAATCCACCAACTAGGAGAAAGTTGGGCAATCTACTCCTGTATGACTTATAGCCTCTGAAAACCAGCTGGAGTGTCAGTAATGAGTTGATTCTGACTCTGTGGCACCTAACAACTATTCAAAACTCTAGTGTCTTCATTGACTATTCAGAGGCATTTGACTGTGTGGATCACAACAAATTGTGGCTTACCTGGAGAAGAAGCCCAGAACACCTGATTGTGCCCATGCATAACCTATACTTGGACCAGGAGAAAATTATCAGAACAGAGCATGGAAACTCTGCATGGTTCAAAATCAGCAAAGGGGTGCATCAGGAATGCAACCTGCCTCCATACATTTTCAGTCTATATGTAGAACAGATCATTTGGGAGGGTGGACTTTATGAGATAGAATGTGGAATCAGAATTGGAGGAAAATTCATCAACAACCTGCATTATGCAGATGACACAGCTTTCCTGAAACTGAGGAGGACCTGAAACATCTTCTGCAGAAGGTCAAAGACTGTAGTTTTCAATATGGATTAAAGCTCAGCATCAAGAAAACAAAGATTCTCACCACTGGGCCAACTGGAAGCACCACGATAGATAGAGATTGAGATTGTTAACAATTTCAGCTTGCTTGGGTCCACAATCAGTAATCTTGGAACCAGCAGCCAGGAAATCAAAAGATGAATTGGATTAGGAAAGTTTGCTGTCAGGGACTTCTCCAGAGTGCTGAAGAGCAACAGTGCCAGTCTTGAGACTAAGTTGTGCCTGATATGGGCCCGGATCTTTGCAATTACTTGCTCTGCATCAGAGAGCTGGATAATGACCTATGATGACAGAAGGATTGGTATCTTTGAGTTGTGGTGCCAGAGAAGAGTATTGAATATACCATGGAATGCCAAGAGAACAAACAGATTTGCCCTGAAGACGGTGAAATCATCTTGCTCTTTGGAGGCAAGGGTTTTGAAGATCCGACTCACATGCTTTGAGCATGTTTCCAGGAGATATTAGTTCTTGGAGAAGGACATCATGTTTGGAAGGGTGGAGGGATGGCACAGGAGAGAAAGACCCCAGATAGACTGACAGAGTGACTAGGGTAATAGAGGCAGGTATGTCAGAGATAGATTGGCTCAGGATAGGGTAGGATTCAGAGCTATTGCACATAGGATCCCTAAGAGTCCCAGGTGATTTGATGATATGTAACAACAACAACAACAACATTACCCCATGGTTTGAATTCTGAAAGCTTTAAGGATTATGTCGTTTTGTGGGAATAGTTCTTGGCCTCTGTGTGCCTTATTATCTTCATTTGTAATATGAAGTTGTAGTAGTGCTTATTTTGTAAACTTATTATGAGAATTAAATGAATTGATATTATAATAATTATTGCTCTTGTTTTTTATTATTACCCTTTGGACTCTGAAATCTTACAGTGATTTGACTAGGCATAGATGGTTTTATGAATTGTTTTCTACAAAGTCTGAGTCTATTAATTTTGAAGACTCATATCATTCAGCTGTAGGAAATTCTCATTTCTCTGATAATTTTCTTCTTTTGTTTTTGCACATACTAATTGGATATTAAATCTTTCACTGCTTTCTTGAGCATTTCTGTTTTCATTCTTTTGTGATTTGTAAGATGACCTGAATTTATGTCTAAGACTTACTAAATTTCATTTCTTTTGATAACCATATTTAAAATTTTGAGTTGCCAACCCAAATTCAGGCAGGAGTTTGATGAACAGTCTCCTCTCATGTGATTTCTAGCTTCTGAAAATCTGTTAGCAGATCAGCTATGAGTTGGTTCTAACTTGACAGCAATGACTTTGAGTTTTATTATTATTTTTTTCAAATTAGCATTTACTTTTTAGATTTTATTTTTAAAAAATGTTTTCTAATGTTCATTAAATTATTTTTATTCTTCTAAGGTTTTCTCCATTTGCATTTTGGTCCTTTTAGATTATGTTTTACCTATTATCCTAGTACGTGTATTCTTATTTAAGAATAAAGCAATAGAGAAGCCACAGGCCATGTATGTTTGGGCAACTAACTGCAAGGAGCTTGCTGGTATACTTTGGAATTCAAAAATGCCAGAATATGGTGAATTTTTTACTATAGTGCCGTTCCTACTGCTTCAAATAGCTTACCTCCTCTATTTCTATGAAGAAATTTGTTTCTTTTGTTTCCAGAACATAAATGTGTAGTTTCCAGATCATCTTTCTGTAGATTGGAATGATTGGTTGAATTTGACTGTGCCATCTAGGGATATTAATGCAGTTTCTTTACTTTCTTTTTTACACTATTAATGCTTATTAATACATACATTAGAAGAAATACAGCAATTTCAAAGAAATTTCCGTTTTTTAATTTAACTTTGCAGCACTGTTTTATTACCTTGTTTTCCTTTTAGATTTTGTTATGCTGTTATAATAATATTGCGAAATAGTCCAACAGAAAGTGAGATTAAAGGTTTAGACCTCTTTTAAACGTCAGTTAGTAGCTCTGTTTAGCAGTAAATTTAATAATGTATTTGAAGAACTAGTATAATTTTAAATGTATTTATTGCTTCAATACTTTCACTTTTTGCTTAGAGATAATTTTATTATATAGATTTAATTTTTAAATAATACAAAAAATATGCTCTATAAAAATGTGAGGTCTGCCTCTTAATTATTGGATCAATTTCCTTGACATAGGCACATATACAATTCTGTGAGTCTTGGCTTTGCTTTGTGGGGTGTTCTTGGCGTATCTTGTGACTGGGATCTGCTAGGGTCACTGGCGTTTTGCTTAGCTATAAATTATAAACAGATGGAGCTTTACCACTCCTTGCCATTTTTTTGCTTTTTACTTGGCAAGTGTTTTAAGGAAGGCCTGAAAGGAAAGGGGTGAGTAATTTTTAAACATTAGAATTTTTAAGAAAATTATTTAAGAGAACTTATTGGTACCAGTCTTTCACTTTGCTTTTTGATAATTTCTTATTGATTATAGGGTGAAAGGGGAGAGAGAGATTAAGCCATGTCGTATATTGTCTTCATTCTAAATTTTCCTAACTAAGGAAGTATATTGATCAATGTATGTTTACTGGAGGCAATGTGGATTATGCTAATGTGAGTTTGCTTGTTAGAACATTGCTCTAAGATTATATCCCTTTAGAAAATAAATCTTACATTATATTTACCTTTGTTAGAAATAAATTCTAATTTGACATTTCTCTTTATGGTTGCATTCCCAAATTCCTATGGGAGTAACACCTAAATAAATATTAATTGGGATATCAATAATAGTCTTTGAGTTGAAAAAGTGACATCTTCACTCTGATATGAACAGATTCCTGTCTTACCACCTATATTGGTAACATAGATGTGTATTTTTTTTACTTAGTGAGACTTGAGTTGATTTCTCAGAATTGTCAGTCTTTCCCAATCTTACTGCGTGCCTTTGTTTCTGTTCTAGGTTGGTGCTGTTAATTAAGCTGGGTTGCACTGTTGTGGCCTCCTTCGTTCTCTGCTGGCTGCCATTCTTTGCAGAACGAGAGCAAACCTTGCAAGTTCTAAGAAGACTTTTCCCCATTGATCGTGGATTATTTGAGGCATGTTTAAAAACTTTATTGTTTCTATCTTTATGTTGTGATGTCTTTTGGGGTTTTCATGCAGAAGATACACAGCAAATGAGGCATAGTAACTTCTCCTGCTCTTCACCTGCAGTTCTTGCATGGCAGTTAATCTAGTAGACAACCCCTCGCTCAGCTGGCATTTTCTAGTACATGAATAGGTAATATTTATGCCATTATCAGATCCATAATTCAGTTATACATTTTTAAAAATGAAAGAGAGTTGCAGCTACAAAGTTAATAACTGTCATGTTTTGGTTTATATTCTTTGTCTTAAGAAATTATTTGTGAAACTAATAATCATGTTTATTTCAGAAAGATCTCATAATTCCTAATGAGCTGTAACTCTCATCATGGTAATTTTGAATGAGAATCTTTCCTTTTATTTCACTAATTTAATCACTCTTGTTTAACTTCTATTACATGAATAATCTGATGATTTAGATTTAGTAATTAAATTAAACATACTATTTTTTTATGGGAAATAAAAGGTCTTTCAGTAAAGTTAGACATAGATAGCATCTTTATTGATAATTTGCTTTAGATAAACACTTCATTTAAAAAGAATTAGAAAAACATATTTTTATAACTTTTGGATGCATAAATTTCTGTATAATACCTTTTACTGGACTGATAAGAGGATAGAACCAGTGTTTTGAAAGAGCTAAGAATCAGTTTGGTGGGGAAAACGTTTGTGAAGATACTGTATTTTCACACAAGAAAATAATATACTTGTCATGTGGTTATTACAAAGTACACCCCCCCCCCCAAATGTTAGTTGTATGCACCCTGTGTGTGTTATTTACGTGGGCACATTATATGTGAAAAATCACTATAATTATCACCACTTTACAAATAATTTTATTTGATCCTTCAACATTTTACAGATAAGAGATGAGGTCAGAGATTCACATAACAAATTAATGAGAGAGTTGTCATTTAAACTTCCTGATCTGTGATTTTAACTTGAGTAACTCTAAAACTCAACTCCTGTTCGTTGTGACCTTGTAGGACAGAGTTGAACTGCCTCATAGGGTTTCCAGGGCTATCTAATCTTTATGGCAGCAGAATCCTGCCTCTTTTTTTGAGCAGCGCATGGTGTTTGAATTGCTGAGCATTTTTTTTCTTGGTTAGGGTCTGAGTACCAGCCTGGCTCCTTCTCTTTTGTAACAGCTAGCCTTAACAGTTGTGTAAAGAATAAGTTCATTTTCCAAGTAATCTGCCTTACCTCTCATTTCAGAAATTATCATAATTATAAAAATGAGTATCATACGTAGTCGACGGTGTTGCCAGTCTCCTCCAGTTACTTGTTCTCAAAATCTGAAGACGATTTTCTTTGATCTGACCTAGGGAAGTAGGATGATACAGTTGTCAGTGCTAGTTCCTTTCAGGATGTTATGATTCCACAGCTGTGAGGCAAACAACTGTGTAGAGGATGGGTTTCAGGAGCACTGGAGCTGTAGTTACAAATTTAATTTTGAAAGTGATCCTAGCACAACTGCTAATGTCCTCACGTTTTTTAATTTAGTAGTAAGTAACTCACTCTCATGAGGTCTTGTCGCTAGTAGATGAAATTAAATGCAGGTGTTTGACAGAATGGGTTTAATGTAATAAGTGTTCTATAAATTAAGATTAAAAAGAAAAATTCTTAGAAAAGCTTCCAAAGAGGAATAACAACAAATTTTAGAAAGTGTATGCTAGTCCTTGAAAAAATAGAAAGTATTTTTTTTAATGTCTAGATTATGATAGCGTAGTTATTTAGAACAAATTTTATTGTGTAAAAATAAAAATGCTTAAGGAGTGTGTGTATGTGTTTACTCCTTGGATTATTCAATTAAGTTATTTAAAATTATGGATAAAAATTTAACATGTTCATAAAAGCTTATTTGCTTAAAGACTAAACTTGGTAGAGTGTAATGACTTTCCTTATATCAGAATGTAAAATTAAAATTCTCTTTTTAAGGATAAAGTAGCTAATATTTGGTGTAGCCTCAATGTCTTTCTGAAGATTAAGGATATTTTGCCCCGTCACATCCAAGTAATAATCAGGTAAGAGATAAAAAGTTTGTATGTAGTGTTTTGTAGTGCATCATTAAGGAATGAGAGTTCTTTAGTAGTGAATTTTCCACATAATTTAAACATGTCCCTCTAGATAATAAAATTTTTCTTCTTTGAATTACTTTATGTAAAAGTCTTACTGAATCGTTACTTAATTTTCTCCTCATTAAATGGAACAGATATTAAATATGATTTAACATTCTCTTTAGAGTAATGATCGCCGGTGGTGGACTAAGTAGAGTTCATTCAGAGAATGAGTAGGAGACTGTGTGTGTGCATGTGTGTGTGTATATTATGTGTATGGATTTGTTATGAGAGGTCATCGATTCGAGTATAACCAATAGTGACACTAATAGCAAAAGACTTAAACCCTGTTCTATAACTATCATTTCTTCCAGAAGTATGTGGTTTAGGAAGAAGATGCCACTATGAGAGATTAGCTTATGCATTTGTAGTGGCTGGCTAATGAAGCTGAAAGTCCACGAAGCCGGTTTTCAGAAAGAGACTTCTGCAGGGAAAGGGAGCAGTATAGATCTAGCTCCTGTTTGGAGTTTCTGAGTTTAGGAAAAGCCTAAGCTTTTTTCTTAAAGGACTCTCAGCTGATTAGGTCAGGCCTGTGCAGGCCAATCTTCTTTTAATCTTTCTTAAAATCAACTGAATAGGTACTTTGGTTATATTTGCAAAACTCCCTCACAGTAGCACCTAGATGGGTGTTTGAATAATTGGGAGAAGGTGTGTGTATGCTACAAACCAGTTACTGCTCCTCCTGCCATCCAGTGCTTGTCAGAGAAATAGTCTTTGCAGCGTTTTTAGAGGCACTCTGGGGACGTCAGCCTAGCCAAGTTGACACATTACAACACTAACACACATGCGAAAAGAATTTCTTCAATTGGGTTATAATGCTTGCTTTCAGAGTTTCAAGAGCTGTGGGCCATATACTAAATAACTTCATTCAGTCAGCTCTGCAGTCTGCCAGCTTTCTCTAGTTGTCCCCTCTCTCTACCTTTTCACCTGTCATTAGGAGAAACTCTAGCTGTTTCCTACTTCATTTTTAACTTGTTTTTTCTTATTTTTTAAAAGTTGGAAATCATATAATTAACCTTTGTGAGTAAAGTTTAATGATGTATGTGTTAAAAATATAGGACTGTTTCTTCTTAGCTATATTCTCTTATTGTGAGAGTGTTTGAGGCTTGACCTTCATTTAATATATTTGTACCTTTTCTGAAAATGTTATTGAGTGCTAAATTAAGCAGTATTTAAATGATAATTTATGCTTTGTAGTATATTAACTAGTTACATATATTAAACTACATACATGTTTCAGCATAAACATTATTTAAAGGTGCATATCAGTAACTGGAAAGTTCAGCAGTTTGAACCAACCTCAGAAATGTGGTAGGGCAGTTCTGTTCTGTCCTGCAGGGTCACTACAAGTTAGAATTGAGTGACAGCAGTTAGGTGCTTTTTTTTTTCTTTATTTAAATGTTACTTGGTCTTAAATGAAAATTATGTTCACTTGAAATCAGTTTGTTAATGCAAAATATTATATTTATGCTTTTAAACACATTTCTTTGCTTCTGCTAGATTCAAACACCACAAGGGCAATAATTTTATTTTTATTCTTCTTTTTTAGCTTTTGTTTTACATTCTTGAGCCTGCTTCCTGCATGTATAAAATTAACACTTCACCCTTCTCCTAAAGTATTCAGATTTACTCTGGTAAGTTTCTAATTAGTTTAAATTAATAATTCTGCTGCAGCTGATCTTCTAAGAATATACATTCCCTCTCCCCCCACCCCCGAACATTTATTTGGGAAAGATTTATTGAGTGACAGTTATATATAATTTTATTTTGAGCATTATGCACACCGATCAGAATATTTCAATTACTTTAGTTCAGGAACTACTTATTCAATTTCTGCTTTGTATTAGTCATTGAAGGAGTACAAAGAGCAAAACTGTGGTGGTAGTGGGGTTGTTAGATGCCACTGAGTCAACACAACTCATAGCAACCCTGTGGATAAGGCATCTGAACCTTACCCTATCCTGTGCCATCTTCACAATCTCTGTTACCCGAGCCCATTGTTACAGTCACTGTGTTAATCCATCTCATTGAGGGTCTTCCACTCTTTTGCTAACGTTCTACCTTTCCAAGAATGATGTCTTTTTCCAAATGATGTCTTTCCAAAGACTGGCCCCTCCCAACAACATGCACCAGAGATATCATTACTGACGTCAAACATATCTTGGCAGAAAGCAGAGAACACCAAAAGGATGCTTGGGAAGGTGGAGGGACAGCGCAGGAGAGGAAAACCGCCTTTGAGGTGGATTGATTGAGCGACTGGGGTACTGAGGATAGGTGTGTCAGAGACAGTGCGATTGCCACAGGACAGAGCAGGGTTTAGGGCTGTTGTACATAGGTTGGCTATGAGTCGCAGGCCACTCGATGGCACATAACAACAACAGATAGTATTGAGGTCTGTTAGGAATGAAGTCCCTTGATAATGTGAAAAAGGGAGATGTGATTTTGGAAGAGATTTTAAGATTACTTCTTAAACCAGGTGTGATTGTTGAAAGCTGGGCAGGATTTGGAATAGTTTACATGTTGTTAGATGCCGTTTAGTCCATTATGACTCATAGCGACTTTCTGAATAGCAAATTGGAACCTGGCCCTCTACTGCATCATCCTCATGATTTCTGACATTCTCAAGCCCATTGTTATAGTTTCTGCATCATTCACTCTTTCTCTAACCCTCTGTCTTTCTGAGCATGATGTCTTTTTCCAAGGAACTAGCTCGTCTTGATAAGATGACCAAAGAATGTGAGACGAAGTTTCTCCATGCGTGCCTCTAAGGAGCACCCTGGCTGTATTTCCTCCAGTAGTTTCTCTAGAAGAAGCATATTCAAAGCAAAAGGAAGAGTTTGAAGGTACAGGGAAAGAACAAGGAATATTCAGGGAACCTGTTAAGCTATCAAATTTGTGTGACTCGTGTGTATAAGAAATAATATGAGAGATAAGAGTTGAAAAGGACCAAATTTTTGTTGGGTTGAAAATTTGAAGCTTGACGTGTGTACAAGAGAAGTTAAAGAATATTTTTTCTTTCTCTTTTTAAAGATTTTTGATACAGGGATGAGGCCAATCTCTTTTTTTTGGAAGATGATTTCTTTAATGTTTGAAGATGGATTGGGTTAATTTCCTGCAATGTAGATATTTTGTGGGTGGGTTTACAAACTCTTTCTGATTATATTTCTGTGATATTTAAAATGTCATTCTTGTGTATCTTATTCTATCAAATGATATTTAAAAAATAAATTTCAAAAGATCAGTTTAGTTTATTAAAATACTAGACATAACATTTTAGGAACTTGGGTGTCAGTTAGGAACTGCCACTTACTAACATTGTGCTCTAAAGACCAGCCAGAACAGAGGATTTGATTCCTCAGTTCTACACTGGGAGAAAAATAAAAGATTCATGTTCCATTTTCATTACATATATTTTTATTTATCTTTCCTAAACTAAGTAAAGGGAGCTATAGTTGCCTGGTCGGTGGGGGGTTGTGCTGTCCACCCAAAGTAAGGTGGTTCAAGACCGCAAGCAGCTGTCTGGAAGATAAATGGACACCAATGTGATTTATAACCTGTGAAAACCCCCTGGAGGTTCAGCTATGAGTCAGTGCAGACTGGACAGCAAAGGGAGAGTGAGAATCTAGCCAGTTTGTTTTCAGTTAATCACTCAGAAACATTTTATTTTATAGCAATAATTACCATTGCCATTATTTACAAAGTCCTATCAAAACCTCTCTGTACCTGCCTTTTCCCTTTACCCTACCCACAAGCTCACTAATCTCTGCTTCCTGTACGTACCTTTGGGATTGTAGTGCAACTTCTTGCCATCACAACTAGGTCATCACAGCTCCCTTTGCTGTTGGAGACCTCTCCGAAGTATTGAAGAGCAATGATGTCAGTCTGGAGACTTAAGGTGCTCCTGATACAGGCCATGGTCTTTGCAATTACTTGTTATGCATCAGAGAGCCGGAGAATGATTAGGGATGATAGAAGGAGAATTGGTGCCTTTGAGCTGTGGTGCTGGAGAAGAGAGTTGAATATACCATGAACTGCTAGGAGAACAAACAGATTTGTCCTGGAGAAGGTGTAACTGGGCTGCTCCTTGGAGGCAAGGATTCTGAAGCTTCATCTCACATACTTTGGACATGTTGCAAGGAGAGACCATTCCTTGGAGAGGGATATCACAAGAGAGGAAGACCCTCAATGAGATGGATCAATTCAGTGATTGGGGTGGCGGGAATAGGCGTGGCAGAGATAGTGAGGTTGACACAGGATAGAGCAGGGTTTAGGGCTCTTGTGTATAGGGTCACTATGAGTCACAAGAGACTCGATGGTACATAACAGTAACAACAACAATAACAACAATGGCATGACAAAATTAGGATAGTGTTAAAAGAGCTGATGGCATAAGGTTGAGGGAGGATACATTAGTTTGAGTAAGAGAAACCCTTTGGATCTTTGAGCTAAATCATTAACAAGGTGTCAGTCACAAGCTGTGCCCTCTGACTTGATAAAATGCCTTAAGTCACAAATACATTTGAGTATTTAAGGCATAAAGGAATAGGTATGAAGTGACTAGTCTGAAGTATAGTGAAGTGAGGTAGTGAAGTCACTAGTCTTAAGAAATGAACTGGAAGAAGACAGGAGTCAGATTGCATACCTCTTGGCAGAAGTTTGGGTTTTATTCTAAGGATGATAGGATTTTAAACAGGGAAATTTTGTCATTAGACATGGTGTCTTTGTGGAGAATGGATTATAAAGGGACAAATGTGTTACCATTTGGGAGTTATTGCAGTAGTCCCGGAGAAAGGAGAGGGTGACTCAGACTACTCCTTTGTTCCATCATCAGCACAGGTGATGGGGAGAGGTGGAGGGATATTTTATTCAGAAAGTGATAGACATAGGATTTGCCTTAAGATTTCGATGTGGCATTTTAAAAGATGCAATCCAGGTTTTCGCTTGACTAATTGGATGGCTGTGCACAGACAGGTTTGATAGGCAAAAGATAACTCCTAGAAAAGGATTTAGATAATTTTCACTTAACATGAAATGGTAAATACTAAAACACTTATATTCTATTGAAGAACATGAAAATAGGTTATTCTGGATAGTTTTAGATTTTTAATCTTCATCTTTGTAATTTTAGTATCAGGAATTCCATGGGAGGATGAAGGTATCTGAGTTATTTAGTAGTTTTGATTACTAGTAACTGAGCCTCAGTGAATTTTTTTCGGGTAGTTAGCATAGCTTTATAGTAATTGTTTTGTTTTCTTCTTGTGTGTACCATTGAATCAGATCTGACTGGCACAGGAGGAGACTGCTTCTCCTTCTCCAGCAGAGCATCTGTGTTTGAACCATGAGCCTTTGGGATTGCAGTGTGGCTTTTTGCCACTAGGCCACCAGAGCTCTCTATATAATAATTATTTTTAAAAGAATGTTTTGATTATGAAATCTTATTTAAAATATTATACTAGTGTTGCATGTATAATTTACTTAAATGTTAAAATACCCTCTGAAATTATTTTTACAAGTAAATGGCTATTCTATTTATAAATTATTTTCTTATTTTTTTCTTTTTTTCCCTTTAAGGTTAGCTGTGCTCTGTCATTCTTTTTGTTTTCTTTCCAAGTACATGAAAAGTCCATTCTCTTGGTATCATTGTAAGTAAAAAAGAATATTTGATTATTTATATGTAATATGCTATATATAATACAAATATATTTATAATTTAATGTAGTCACCTAAATGTAAAATAAAACTATATAGATGTTATATAGTTGCACAAAATTATTTCATTAAGTTTTCAATATTTCCAGAATGTCTTTGATTTGTTTATGAAATAAAATATTTTATCATATATATTTTAAACGTTCAATGTTTTCTAAAATATTCTAGTTGAATATTTTAAGTATATCACTTCCAATAGAATATTTTAAATATTTAAAAGTTTATTGTGAGTGATATACTTTTTATTTCTTCCTATTTCTATATACTACTTAGAACTGTGTCCTCCAAAGAGGTTTTTCTCAAACTTAGCCTTTGTTTCCCTCATTTTCACATCTATTCACTTTTTTTTTCTCCATTAACTCTCCATTAACAGACTTTTATTGCCACCTTTCTTTTCTCATAATCTTTAATTATATTCTGTTGGTGATCCGTAACTAGACTACCTTGTTCATAGGAATTTGGGAAGGTATATATTATTCTACTATTAAAAGAACATTTTCCCAGAGCACTTTGGAATACTTTAATTTTTCCTTCAACAATCCCAGACCACATCATACTGTCCTCATTCTTCACCCTGTTTACAAGGTTCTTACAGAAGATATGGTACAGAATAAGTAATGTCAAATTGAAGGCAGTATCATTTTTATTAAGTGGAATTTTGGACTAAAATCTCAGGACAAACTTCTCTAGTAAGCTATATTTTTTTTTTCCAAAAATGGACATTATTTTACTTTGAGAATAGCACATAACATGTCAGAGATTTGAAAATTTTCAAGACGTGAATCATATATGGTATATATATGGTACATTTCATTCTTGACACAAGAATGCTCGATGTTAAAACCTAATTTCATTATAATTCAGTAAGAGTCTCCATGAAAGAATTGACTTTCTTTTTAAGATTTTATGAACTCAGATGTTCCGAAATGCTTTCAGAGTCCCCTGGAAATATCACAGACAAGGGATCAAGAGGCAAGATGATGGCATAGCAAGATTTTGTTCCCTTTTATGATGTTATTGTTAATCAAATCCCCTCCTCTCTGTATCTTATATGTAAATCATTTCAGAATTTGTTGGTTTTACTATGAGGAAGTTTGTGTTGAAGACAAAGTATAAGTAATACCATTATTCTAAAATACATTTATATGTGTTTTTACAATATCAAGTCTTTTTACATGATAAAAGAATTAAAAAAACAACCCCGAATGGTCCCTCTTGTTCTGCATTTTAATGCATTATGAGAATCTCATCTTACTCTAATATGTCTCATTTGAAGAAGAAAAATTCTGAAACAAAACAAGAACCTATTTCAGAACTTTTTTTTTTTAGCATTTAGTTTGTTTACTTAGTACTGAACATTGGAGAATACTGATCTTTAACATTAGACATTTTTTCTTTTTTTTATTTTATTTTTTTTTAATTTTATTAATTTTAATGAACATTTACAGAGATTTTGGATTTCCCTTCATTCATTGTTGGACTTTTCTCCTTGCCCAGCCCTCCCCCTCAGTTCGCTCCTTTCTTTGAAAAGTAAAACAAAAATTCTTTTCATTGGTGTACAGTCCCCACCCCCCGCACACTCCCCCCCCACCCAACTGCCCCGATTGCACTCCACTATGCAGCCTTAATTCTGGACTCTTGTAGCTATATTTTTTCACTGTAGGAGAACTATTTAATTGTATCCCCCAAAGCCCAAACAAACTTGAGTTGAATCTTAACATTATTATATGAGTCTAGACTCACCCTGGAGAGGGTTAAACCAAGCTACTCCTTGGAGGCAAGGATTCTGGGGCTTCATTTGACATACTTTGGGCATGTTGCAAGGAGGGATAGGTCCTTGGAGAGGGACATCATGCTTGGTAGGGTGGAGGGACAGCGCAGGAGGGGAAGGCCCTCTGGGAGATTGATTGATTCAGTGACTGGGATAATCGGGATGGGTGTGTCAGAGGCAGTGCGATTGGCACAGGATAGAGCTGGGTTTAGGGCTGTTGTACATAGGGTCGCTATGAGTCACAAACGACTCGACGGCACTTAACGACAACAACAACAACAGACTCATCCTAAACACATCCCTAGTGCTAAGGGGAAAAAGAACTAGAAAAATGGTACTTTTGAACATGTGTATTTTCTACAGAATTTTTACTCCATCAAAACATAGCTTATTTAGTAACCTGTAACAATTCAAACTAGTTCTTAATCCAGGAATTCATATTCTATACCGGCACCAACATTTGTAACAGTACTTGGCTCTAGTATAATTTTAATAAATAAATTTAAGGTAGTGTTAAAAGTTCTTCATCTTCTCCCATCTAATCTATCATTAAACACTATAGTAAATACAATCATAGAGCCGGCACAAGACTGAGCAGATCTTTGTTCTGTTAGACAGAACTGGAGCAGACTTGGTGGCATCTCATAACAATAGCTAGTTACTAGGTACTGTGTGGGGCATTGAGGATTTATCTTTGAACAAAACAGACAAAAATCACTGCCTATCTAAATTTTCCTCTCAAAAGTGGACAATAAATAATAATGAAATTAAAAGAAGATACTAAATAGTATGTTAAAAATGCCATGAGGGAAAAGAGATTAAGGGAAATTTATAGTACTGAAGATGGGAGAGTGAAAGTAGAGACTGTCATTTTAAAGATGTCAGGGTCAGTTTTGTTTGTTGTTAGGTACTGAAGAGTCCACCAGGACTCATTGTGACTCTGTGAACGGCAGATCTGAACCTTGCCCTTTCCTGAGCGATGACTGGTATGCTCCAGCTCATTATTAGAGTCGTCTTTCCCTTCCCTCCACCTGGCCCAGCATAATGTCTTTTTCTAAGGACTCGTCCCTCCTGACAACATGCCCAAAATATATGATAGGAAGATCTTTGTGTGTAAGTAGCATCCTGGTTGCAAGATAGATTTGTTTGTTCTTTTGGCAGTCCTTGCGATTGGTACCCTTTGCCAACACTACAATTCAAAGATGTCGATTCTTCTTTGGTCTTCCATATTCATTAGGTCAGGGGGGAAAAAAGATATAAAGGTATGCCTCATTGTGGATATATCTGAATAGACTAGAGGGCTGCAATGTGATGATAAATGGAGAAAAGATTGAAGATGTCAAGGATTTAATTTTACCTGGCTTCATAATGATTACTCAGGGAAGAAGCAGTCAAGAAATCAAATGATCTGTTTCACTGAGCATTATAAAAATGGTGTGGCTGCTGTGGGAGCAGTCGAATCTGACTTCCACTAACTTCATAAGAGGGTAAAGAAACCCCATCAACAGCTACAACTGATTTCTGTGAGGTCAGGCATGCTCCTCCTGTCCTGTCCCTTCTTCTGTCAACTCTAGCACCAACCATTTCTCCCTCAGCTCTCATTACGTTATTGTTAGATTTACTAACATATTGTGATGACCACACAGGACTCAGAGATAGTATTAACTATTATGGAATTTATTAGGGAAGTAACAGCCTACAGTTCGGGTCAGGAACACTCAGGAAACAATTCTTTAGCCAGGACAGCTTATTCTCATGATGTTAGCAGGCAGGGCCGTCTCTGACCTTCATGCCTCTGGCTCTGGGTCATGCCATATGCTTAGGAAAATGTTGCCAGTTACTTTTAGTTCTGTCATTTGTGTGTATTGTGCCTCACTTCAGCCCTACTTCCCCTGACTGCTAGTCAGCCTAGGTGAAGACCCTGGGCTCTGGCTCTCTAGTGGCAGATCTTATTTCAGCTGTCTCATATGGAGTCTTGCTTTTCTCCTGCCATGGTTACTGCTGCTTCTGGGTCTCAGGCTTGAACCATTTCTTGCAAGAATCTGGCACAAAGAATGAGCTGCATTCTTTGCTGCTTCTTGATGCCTCTGGACCTGTTTATTTGAAGCCTGATGGGATGGCAAAATTGATCAACCCTCTCAGCAAACTATATGTATAATTTGTACGTTCTTACTGTAATAGGGGGTTTTTGCACTGTGGAGATTGTGAGGCTGGTGAAGGATTGGGCCCATTAGTGTTTAACATAGGATCTCCATAAATTTATATTGACTCAATGACTCACAACAACAAACTAAAGGTGCTGTTTGCCTTACTTAAGTTAGCAGCACGCTATTCAGGCGACACAGTAGACACAGACATCCCACACTGGTATTGGTGAGAGTCAAAGTCAATGAGTAGAAAAGGCGTATTGAATAATCTGCTCTTGCTAGCACAGGCATATCTGCGGCAAAGGACCTCTTTAAAGTGTTAAAGAGTAAGCCATGGTATTTTCATTTGTTGCTTGTGCATGTGAATGTTGGACAGTGAATCAAGAAGACAGAAGAAGAAAAAAATAAAAAAAAGAAGACAGAAGAATAATTTTATGCCTTTTAATTGTGAAGCTGGTGATGAATATTGAATCTACTATGGACTTCCATAAGAAAAACAAATCAGTTTTCAAAGGAAGAAATATAGCCAGAATGAATGTTCCTTAAGCAAAGATGGTGAGACTTTGTCTCACACACTTTGGATGTCTTATCAGGAAAGGCCAGTCCTTGGAGAAGGACATTGTACTTAATAAAGCAGAGGGTTAGTGAAAAAAAGAGGAAGAGCTACAATGAGGGATTGACATAGTGACATCAGTTGTGGGCTCAAGCGTAGTAGAGATGGTAAGGATGGTGCAGGATGGGGTATGCGTGTGCCCTTGTGTACTGCATCACAGTGTGGCAGGACCTATGGGGCAGCACCTAACACCACCATCTGACCAGAGTGCAGTGATGCAAGGAGAAAGTTGTTGTTGTTGTTACGTGTCATCGAGCCACCCTATGGCAACTCATAGTGACCCTATATCCAACAGCCTTAAGCCCTGCTCTAACCTGGGCCAATCTTACTGTCTCTGACACACCCACCCCCATTACCCCAGTCACTGAGTTAATTCATCTCATCAGGGGTCTTCCTCTCTTGCAGTTAGAGAGGCAAGAATTCCAAATTGTGATGGACTTGGGAACATAGTAGCCTTTTAAAAATTTTTTATTTTAATTTTGGTGAGCCACAGAAGGATTTTGAGGAAAAAAACCATGATCTGACTTGACATTTTAAAAGGATTACTCTGGCTCCAGATTGGAATAGATTACATTCAGAAGGTTTTTACTATAATCTCAGTGACATTTAGTGATGACCAAGACAGCAATAAGGGAAGAGGTAAGAAATGGTTAGTTTCTGGATATGTAAGGTGAAACAGAAGGTTTCCTAATTATTTGGATGTAGGATGTGAGAGAAAGTGAAAACTTCAAAATGACTCCATGGTCTTTAGCCTGGAAATAGAAATAACATCTGAAATCAAGAGGGTTGCAGGTGGTTTAGTCTAAGGACTGGGATAGGATGGGAGGTTTGTTTGGTGCTGGATCATCTAAGTAGAGATGCTCAGTCAACATGAGGAGATACATTATACCTTCCTGTTTATGTGGCGGTTTGTTGGTTGTGAGTTTTGGCATAAAACAGAGGATATACTGGTGTAGGAATTGGCAGTAGAGAGGGAAAATTGATAGAGGCTCTCGAACACAATGCAAGAATTGCTTTGGACAGTTGTACACACTATTCATTTTTAGTGAAAGGAAGGGAAGTGGGCCTTATATGTAGGATAGTGGGCCATATATGTTGGGAGGGGAGTAGATGTGATGGTGGGTATCTGTAGTAATGGCTTCAATTAATTTTGTTATTGAAGTGAGAAGCTAGGCCATTAACTAAAACTAAACTGAAGCTGTTAGTGTGAAAGAGCTCAGAAATATTTTTCTAAGGATAATCAGAGTGTGAACAGACTAGGGAAAATAGCATAATTACTGAACATTTAAATATCATGACCGTGTGTTTAAATGGAGACCAGTCAGTTTAGTGAAATGTTTTTCTTAAGGTCATTTACTTAGGTATAGTAGACGTAAGTGCAGGTGGAAAGTTGAATATTTACAATTTTTCCTGGTAAGATTAGCGCCTTTGCTTGGGGCATGAGGAGGATTGTACAGGAGTAGTTACAGTGATTGACCTTATGGGGTTGCCATGAGTCAGAATTTACATGATGCCAGTGGGCTCGCATTGTTGATGTCAGAGGGGTGAAAAATGTAGTAAGTAACAGTGGATGGTAGCCTAGTGGTAAGAAGCTGCACTGAAGTTCAGAAGACATGTAGTTCAAATCCATCAGCTGCTCCACAGGAGAATGGGTAGTTTCCTCCTGTGGAACCCACTGAAGGGTCAGTTCTGATTTGATGGCACACAACAACAACAGCAACAGTGGATTGAAGGTCTTGTTGGAGTCAGAAGCATGTTGGAGTATTGAGAAAGTAGGATATATAATGGTCAGAGTGGAATATATGAATTGTGATTATGGAGTGGTCCCAGTGTAGACCATGATCTTAAGGGTCAGCGATGAAGATAAGATCACTAGAAAAGAGAAGTTCTAGCAAATGAAAGGCCAAGGCATTGATTGGGAGGCTCATCCATGGATATATTGAGTCCCAAAAGGCATAGGGTTTTAGAGAGGGACAATGAGGAAGGACTGGAAAGCACTGCATAATAGGTAAGTGAGCCTAGTAGTTAATGGCTAGCAAAAATGGAAATGTTTTTGTTGTTAGGTGCTAATAGTAGATTAAATCAGAATGTGAGATTCAAAGCTGCAGTTGATAGGGAGGACCGGTGTGGACACAGCAGTGAAGAGCAATGAAGTTATCTTCCACTTCCAGGTCAAATGGTTGAAGGCTGTGTCAAGCAAACAATAGAAAAACAACAAAGCAAAGAAGCAGCACTGGAGAGGGCAGATGGGCAGCACTGTCCTCTGAAGAGACAGGAGGTGAAGGGAGTGTTCAGACAAGAAGTTACGAATGTAGGGATTTTACAGCTTGGTTATAAATTTTAAGTACCTTGAGGTTAGGGACTGAGTTATACTCATTTCTTTAGTCCTTTCAGAGCAGTGCCTGTGCATAATCAGTTTTTGATAAATGCTTATGTTCAGTAAAATGAATATTGAATGAATAAATGGAAAATAATTAAGACCCTGAAGGAGAAAATAATATCTATTGGGCATCTGCTAAGTACTTGAATTCATTTAGGTTTTAAAATGAAACAGAAAGCCCACTGGTATTTTGATAGGCCTTTGCTAGTTTCTGTCCAGCTGGCCCTGAACGTGGAAACCCTGTCTGTAACAGGAAGAAATGCTGCTCAGTTCAGTGCCGTCTTCATGATCATGGCTCTACTTGTAAGGCATTGGTATAGCTGTATTCATCAGTCCATGTCAGTAAGATAGTCCCTAACTTTCACTGGTCCTCCATTTTCCCAGAAAGGAAGCACTTTAGAGATTTGACACTGTATCCAATGTAAGCAAGTCACAGTCTCAGATTGTATTCTGTGATCCTTAGTCTTCATTGGCTAATTTTAGTTTGCAACTGGTGTGTAGTCCCAGGCCTTTTCACTCACGTTCTCATTGTCATGGGTAAAAGTTACCCGAGAAAGGGAGGGAATGGTCAAACCTTTTTAGAAAACTTTTTAAAATAAGATAAAGAGTAATCACCAGTAACCACCATTATTTGAAAAAGGTTTTATTGCCCACCTATACTTGGGACCTGGCTGCTTGTTCTCTTGTCACTGAAGATGTGTGATCTTTATATTTCACAAAGTGCTTTCACACTTACTTTTACTAGACTCTGAGAGCATGGCCATTGTTCTCTTGCACATTTGTTTCCCCAGCACCTGATAGTTTGTGACTCATGCATTTGCTCAATAAATCTGATGAATGAATGACAAAATGAGGAGGTGTGTATGTGAATGAAGGATCCCTGGTAGTGCAACAGTTAGTTGCTCAATGGGAACCAGAATGATGGTGGTTGGAACACGTCCTGCAGCTCTGTGGGAGACAGACCTGACCTGCTTCAGCAATGGTGGCAACCTAACAAACCCCGCGGAGCAGTTCTACTGTCATGAGTTGGATTCCACTTAGTGGGACTTAACAATAACATGAGTGACTGAAGCCTTTTAACTCTGAAGACAGACTTACATACTTGTAAAAGGATTCTTTCAGTCTCTAGCATTACAAAGTATTACTATTTCCTTTCCTTTTATATATATATAAATAAACAGGTTAAATAAATCATTTGCTCAGGATTACACAGGAAGTGAGAGTTCGGGGCTAGGATCCAGGTCTTCTGACTTGCCCCCTCCTTTCCTTGAGCATTGCCACAATTGAATCAGTGTAGGGTGACACAGAGTTGGCACCCTGACACTAAAGAGCCCCTTGGGGCAGGCTATGCTTTCATCTGTTGCTGTGCTATGACCCTTTTCAGGTAGTTTTGTCCTGCACATTTTTTTCTTTTATTCTATCAGCTTGTTTTTCTTTATAATTCTTTGCCTCTCTTGTGCTTTCTCTAGTGGCCTGGTGATCTTGCCTGTCATAACTTTAGTTCTTTAATGTACTCAAATATGTGCAATCTAGAGAATTATGAAAAGAAATGAATTCTCTGGAATTCATGTCCTATTCATGTCAAATAGGGTAAAAGATATGAAAAAGACTTTGAATATTCAGATTTGTTTACCTGATCCTCTTATAAAACATCTATTTGTATGACACAGAAATGTTCCTTTCATGGCATATAAGAATCAGTTTTCTAATTTTTTTTCCACTTCTCTGTGTTTTGTGTTGTTATGTGCCTGCCAGTCAGAGCCAACTCACACCAGACCCTGCAGGCAGCTTTCAGTGAGTTTTCAGAAGTTGTAAACTCGAACCAAAGAATTCCCATCTTTATGTCACTGAGCAGCTGGCGGATTTGTCACGGGACTTTGTTGGCAGTGCAACTCCTACCACTAGGCCACCAGAATTCCCTTCTCCTTGTGTGGTGGATGCCGCTGAGTTGGAACCAATGCATGGTTTAGACTCATTTGGACTGACTGGTATTAAAAAAAATGAATCTGAATCTGTAGTCCATATAGAAATCTTGCTATTTTTTTAAGTAAACAAAAAAATCAGATAGATGAAATGTATTATTTATGTAAAATGGATTTTAATGTGTGATTATGGATTATTTTTCCACATTCAAATGGTATTTTTAATACTGAAATTTTTTCTTTGCTATTTTAGACCAGTCTGCTTAGTTTTACATGAAATTCCTTTTATATCGACTTGGTTTTTGCTTGTGTCAACGTTTAGGTGAGTTAAAACAATATCCATATAATATTTCCAGTATAGTTTTAATAAAACATTTTAAGCAAAGTGGTTGTTTTGACAATTGTTTTAATGTTTTTTTCTACTTTTTCTTTCTAGTATGCTCCCTCTTTTGTTGAGAGATGAACTCCTGATGCCTTCGCTTGTGACAATGATGGCATTTTTTATAGCTTGTGTTACTTCCTTTTCAATATTTGAAAAGACTTCTGAAGAAGAACTGCAGTTGAAACCTTTTTCCATTTCTGTTAGGAAATACCTCCCATGTTTTAAATTTCTTCCCAGAATTATGAAACATTTGGTAAGTTCACTTTTTAAGAATTTGGATAATATGTTGGCAAAAAACATTGAAGAATTAATATATCTGTTTGGAAAAAGTACAGCCAGAATGTTCCTTATAAGTGAATATGAAAAGACTTCATCTTGCCTCCTTTGATATGCTATCAAGAAGGACCAGTCCCTGGAGAAGGACATCATGCTTTGTAAAACAAGAATGTTAACAAACAATAGGAAGATTCTCAATGAGATTGATTGGCACAGAGGCTACAATGGGCTCAAACATAGCAACAGTTGTGAAGACGATGTAGGATCAGCAGTACGTAGTTCTGTTGTACACAGGGTTGCTATGCGTCAAAATGGCCTCAGTGTCCTCTCTAGGAACCTAAGGGTAGCCATATTTTTTAGCATGCCACTGATTTTTAAATTAGACATGTAGCTAGCTGCCTGTATTTCTTGGAAATTGACATCATGCTTAGAAAGATGGAGGGTCAGCAAAGGAGAGGAAGAACCTCAATGAGATGGATTGACAGGTGACTTCAGCAGTGAACTCTAGTGTGTCAGAGATGATGGGAGTGGCAAGCAGGATCCAGGCTGGCTGTTCAGATGGTCGCTATGAGTCATACTTGACAGCACCTAACAAGAACAGCAATTTTTTAAAAAAATTTCTTTTTAAGAACAGCAATTTTTTTAAGTGACTGAAATATTTCTTTTATAGATTTTTTTGAAGTATAATTAATGTAAATTTACCTGTAAAATTTGCTCATTTGAAGTTTAAATATAGTGAGTTTTACAGTGTATACAGAATTTTGCATTCATTATTTCTAGACTGTTTCATTACAAAAACTGTACCCATCAATACTCATTCCCAATCCCCACCCTCACTCCCAGCTCCCTACCCTGGATAGCCACCAATCTACTTTACTTTGTCATTACAGATTAAATGAAATCACACAGTTGGGGGTGTTTTGTCTCTCTTTTTAACAATGTTTTCAAGGCTCTTCCATCTTACTCCCTAGTCAAGTCTTACGAGTCCTTTTATAATATAGTCATTAAAGCAAACTTGGTTGTCATTAGCTGCCATAGACTTGGCTCCAGTTCATGTATAACAGAACGAAATGTTGCTGTTGCTTGTCTGGTGGGTGTGTATCTGATTGCTAATATGTTCGAATTCCATCTCTTTGAGGGTGTCCCTTGTTTTTGTCAGCCTTCTACTTTACCAATGATGATGTCCGTTTCTAGTGATTAGTCTTTCCTCATGAGGTGGGTGAGTAGAAGACTCACCATCCTTGCTTGTAAGGAACAGATTGGCTGTTACTTCTTTCTGAGACTGATTTCCCCTTGTCCCCAGAAGTCTGTAGTATTTATAACACCATCACATCAATTCTTTTTCATTATCTAACTTTCCCATGCATATAAAGTGATTAAAAATATCATAGTTTATAGTCAATGCACATTATTATTAAACTGACAGCTTTGCATTTTAAGAAGTTTTTTTAGCAGATTTAGGGGTTTCCGTTATGTCTCATTTGGTTATGGGTTACTAGCCACAGTGGCTCTGGGTACTGTACTGCATATTTACTTTATTACATGAAGTTCCATTGAGCAGCCTACTAGGTGGAAGACGACAGAATAAATACATTCATTTTTACTACTCATTTTGGCATTTAATCATATGTGACCTGTGGTGGGACTAATTTGGTCATCCCCTTATTTAACAGAAAAGTCCATGAGGCCATAGAAGCATGGTTTCAGTCATTTGCACCACTGTGCTTTTTCTTAAAGACGGTAAAAAACATTCAGTGAATAAATACATGAAATGGAAGTTTTTTCCTTTCCATGGAAAAGCTGTCTCAGTTGTCAGGATTAGCTCCCAGTTTGTACTGAGAGGACCCTGGGGAATGCCATGAATTTTGCCTTGACTAGCAGCACCATCTAATGGAGTTCCTTTCCTTCTGCCCCTTGGTGGTATGATGACACAGGCTCACAGGCTTTAGCTGCACAGGAGGGAAAAGTAAAAAAGGACAAAGGACATGTACGCCGAGAAATTTTTATTTAATTGGTCTATTATGTGGCTTGGGCATTGAGATTATTTTTAAAAACACCTTGGAAGAGACTGTATGCCCACTCCTCACTTTCTGTTTTCAGCTACAAATGAGTATTTCTTGTATATTTATTGTTTATACTATTTAATGATACTTTCCCCCTCTTCCAGTTTGTGATCTCAGCAGTTGTGATGGTCCTTCTGACTCTGATGTCTGCCACACTGGACCCTCCTCAGAAACTACCCGACTTGTTTTCTGTGCTGGTGTGCTTTGCATCTTGCTTACACTTCCTGTTCTTCTTGGTGTACTTTAACATTATAATCATATGGGATTCCAGGAATGGAAGGACTCAGAAGAAAAGCAACTAGCTATATCCTCAACAAATGTGAAGTGCTGAAAGTTTTTGTCAATTTTTTTTTACATGAAATTATTATTCTGAGAATAATAGAATTGTAATCATGCTGGTAAAAGTCACTGATGCCTATAGAAAATAAATTTATATAAAGATCAAAGCCCAGTGGAAGCATTTACTAAGTTCTATATCTTGTTTGTACTTTTTGTATTTAATATAATCATGGAATTTTCCAGACATAGAAGAAATCAGAAGAAAATTAACCAGCTGAGCTTTATCCCCAAAATATGTGAAAATGTAAACAGTGCTAAAGTGTTTTGTGAACTTTGTGTTATATATGAAATTATCAGTATTAAGAATCATGAAATGGTGAAAAGTCAGTCTAAACAAAATAAATGTACGTTAAGACTAACATTCTCTAACTATTGCATATCCCATTATAGATTATAGGTTTATTAATTTTCAACCATTTACGTGTCGGTATAAGAGTAAAAAGTTCTTAATCCCAGGGTTTAGTTGGGAAATGTACTCCATGAATTGTCCTATCTTAAAAAATCAGCAGATAACATGAATTTAGCTTCTTTTAAAAAGAAGTTCCTAAGTTTGATATACAAATTTAATTTTATTTATAGATGAGATGCAAGTATTAAGTACTTTAGGGACAGATTAATGTCATTGTTTAAAAGTTACTTTTATCATTATCTGGGATAACCTTTCTAACTGTGGAAGTGTAATTAATTTTGGCTGCTTAAAGTTTGCCTATGCTTTAATTACACATACAGATTTGGATTTTTAAAACAGGAAGATAAACTGTTCTTGTTCTAAGGTGCTGTTTTGCTTGAGTGTAAGTTAAAACTTAATTTCCCTGAACTTAAATAGAATTTTAAATATAAGCGGTTCAGGTGGAATATTTTTAATTACTCATGATATTTAAGTGAAATTGCCTTATACAGCATTCAGTCCTTTTCTCCCCCCTTTCTTTCCATGGCAGGGGTCTTCAAGGGTCATTGTTGATGTAACCATTGGTTCGTATCATGCTTCATGTTAATTTGACCCCGCTAATACTATGTCACTCTATATTAGTAGATGCTCATTTTTGGTTTCTGTTTTATTGATATAAATATGTATGGTGTCCATGCAGTATCTTCTCATATAAAGTTGTGCTCCTGCGATACAAAGCAAACCTGTATTTTAAATGAATACATTCCTTTCACCATATAGTCACTAAAGCATATAAGGAGCAGTGTACTTCAAAACAATACAAAAGAAACAAAATCACATACATTAAAAAAGTTTGGTTCTGAATATGGACAGCTACAGGCTTGTGCTGGAAAAATAAGTGTTTCTAAGGAGATAAGCCTGGTTTATAGATTTTAAAAAAAGTCGATTGTGACAAAGCCAAAATCAAGAAGTATTTCTTTTTCAAAGCAAATGTGCATAAAGCCTCAAAGGGCAGGTCAGCACAGAAGAGCAGCCTTGAATTGCTGCAGTATCAGCAGGAACATTGCTGTCCATGGTCACCATCTGTAATCACCGCGCCCAAATGTCAGCGTTCTTGTCTGCCGGGTAGAGGCTGCTTTTTTGCAGTAGCATATTTACATTTAATAAAGAATTTTTATTTAAATCAGGTTAATGAGGAAATTTCCAGGATATATTTATAATCTGTAAATAATTGAGGTGGAAAAAGCTCATTATTTGGGGGAAAAATTATACAATCATTAGGAAAATGTATTGCACCTATATTCAAGGTATCTTATAGGTATAATCTAAAAATAAAAAAATTTCCAGATGACTTACCCAAGTTATGCGGTGATATGTGACTGTACTGATGCAATTATCTAAGTCAAGTCTCTCATAATTATTAGAAACTGTGACTTTTGAGGGATTTCTGAAATATTGGAAATGTCCAGTGAGGAATTAGAACCACAGAACATTGTGATTAAGAGATGCTTTAATATGAAGATATTTAGGCTATGCAAAACCATTAAAGATCACTTTCTCACTTTCTTCACTAATATACCTGTCAAAGCAGTTCTTCTGAGAAATGGCTTTCTCGGTTTTAGATTGCCAAAAAACTTGTTTGCTTCCTAAAACAAAGAGGAGAGTGTATGTTCATGTATCAAATATGAGGCATATAGAAGTCATTTTCCCTTGAGGCTCTAAGGAGGGGAGAAAAATACCCGATGTAGCATTCTGTCCAAATGATAAACCACAACTGAGTGAGTGAAACATTTACAAAAGCCAAAGCAGTCAAAGGAGCTTCTCTGTTCAATGGAAAGAGAGTAAGAGATGGATAGGATATAACTAAATAATAGTTGGAGGAACACAGTGGTTTCAAGTCTCAATTGGTCTCTTTTATGCCATGTTCACTGAAACACTAGGGCCAAGTATATCTCCTCTCCCCCTCACCCCCCATATAAACATTAGTTTTGTGTGTGGATCTTTTTGCTTTGTCCTTCATATGGCCTCCAGGGGTGATAAAGCGAGAGTCATCTGATCTACAATGAAGAGAACTGGGAAATGATTCTTAGCCGACCCAGCTGTTCAGAAAAGCAAAAGCTTAGTATATCAAGAGGTCAAACATACAGTAACTTATTTAATAGCATTAAGCACATACCTACATAACTTGGATTACAAATGAAACCAAATCTACTTCTTAACTCTTTATTTCCTGACTAATGCAGATTGCTTTATGTTTTGGCTGACATCCTAAGGTTAGTTTCCAATGCTATGACAATCCTTTTTTGGTATATTATAGGTAACATTGTAATAAAAGGTCTGTAAGATACAGTACCCTTGATATTTAAAAGGTATATTTTGTTTTTCCAAAGTCTTAGAGACTATAAAGAAAATAATTAATAAAAGCAATTAGGTTTAATAGTTAGTTGGGTTACTATTCAATATAAGTCATTTATATTAATAATTTAAGAATAATCTTCAAGAGGTGAAATCTGAAATTCTCTAAATGGAAAATTACTTTCAAACTACATTTTAAAATACTGTTTCAGGTTTTCATATATTTTATTTCTAAGTTATTTGGAATTAAATAACATGGTAATATCATTTTGGTCAAGCCATCAGGACAAGTAAGTACCTATGAAACAGCCTATTTTTCCCCCTGTGGGAAGGGTCAAAGAATAGAATTTTTAAAAACCTCTTATTAAGATACACATTCTGTGTTTGAAATAGAATGTCCTTCACTTTTATTTTGTCAGTGAGAACATATAAAACACTACCATTAAAAACCCCCAAATTTAATGCTCAACATAATCTGGAGATGATCACACGCTGTGCTGTAAGCATGTTCTTTTTAAAATGCAGTAAGTAGTCTATGTAGCTTATAGCTTCATACTTAATATGTTTCTACTGGAAGATGCATTCTAATATTTTATAAAAAGTGTGAAATGATAAACTTCATATATAAGCATTTCTTAAAGCATAGAAAAAATGAGATTAAAAAATGCATCCCTTAGGAAAAGTATGCAAAAAACTGAATAAGGTAAATATTTTTTAAAAGAATCTATAATTAAGGTGCTTTGGTAGCACAGCATGTAGCATATTGTTCTGCTAACCAAAAGTTCTGCAGTTCAAATCTACCAGCTAATCTACCAGCTGCTCTAGGGGAGAAGGATGGGCAGCCACCTCCTGGTAGGCTTGATAACCCGAGAAACTGGATGGACGCATCACCCGGAGTTGGAATCGCCTCACTGGAAGTGGGTTTGTTGTTTGCTTATTTTTTTTTTTTTAATAAACAAATTAGCAGCTGGGGTTTAAATGAAGAGTTTGGTACCTAACTTTACTCACCATTAAAGTTAATCTGCGTTTCAGGAAAATATCTACCAAAGACATTACTTTCATAAATAATTTTATTACATTGATCCGCTAAATGTATAAACAAATGTACGTGATAACAGCATATAATTCAAGATCCTCCTGTACATGTTGACTTACATTAAAGGGTCAAAAAGAAATGTATTATTTACATTGAGATTATCTATTGGTGTGTGTAGAAAGTTTAAATTAGCTGCAAGAAATTTTATCTAGACATGCACCTGCCTAGTGCTATGATCTGGTATTTACTGGGCAGATTAATTACAAACATTTCTTCTGTTCCTTTAAATATGATCAGGCAGATGCAGAAGTTGGCGTTCAGAGTCAGTACATTTCTTCTAAATGCCTGTGGAATATAAAAAATGATTACTAAATCAGGAAGAGTTAGACTTCAGATTAACATGCATCACATACCAATTTAAGAGATTATTTAAATACCAGTTTACTACTACTATGTTATCTGCTCCCTACTTTATCTACAAACTGGTAACTTCTCATTTGCTTATTTTTTGAGCCTTCTATGCAAGAGTTCCCTTCATAAATAATTGTCATATTTTTGACAACACTCTTCACCTTAAGTGAAAATGGGCCTTGATGGAGCTACTTCTGTGTTTTAGAACCCCAGCATGACCTACTGAAAACACCCAATCTACATGCCTTTTGTCTGTAAGCTTAAGGGGCCTTTTAGCAGGTGTTTCCTTTGACAGCTGCCAAAAAAAAAAAGAGGACAGCATTTACTCTGACAGATTCCTATTCAGACTGTGCTCTGAGGACTCCTAGTGGTGGCAGAGGATCTTGGCTGTCTGGCCTTCAGATACTACCGTTCAGTCAATTCCAACTTCCAGCAACTCTACAGAACTGCCCACAGGGTTTCAGAGGCTGTGCTCTGTACAGAAGCAGGCTACCCCACATCTTTCTCCCGTGGAACGTTTAGTGGATTCCAATCACAAACCTTCCAAATAGCAGCTGAGCATTTAACCATTATACTCCTAGGACTTTTTTTAAAAAAAAATTATTATTTTGTGTGTGTGTGTATACTGTCAAATTGGATCTGACTGGTACAGGAGATTACCCCTCCTTTTCCAGCAGAGCATCTGGTGGATTCAAACCATGTACCTCTGGGATTGCAGTGCAGCTTCTTGCCACTAGGCCACCAGAGTGCCACCCTTAGGACTTTTTAAGATC